TCTCTTCTTGTGACTGGCCTCAGACCCCCACCCTCCTCCCAGGCCTGGTCTGCCATAGTGCAGCTCACTGACTGAAACGAGGTCTTGAGAGCTCTTTGTGCAGATGCTATGGAGCCAGGATCCACCAGTGCCTGCTTCCCCAGTGGCTGGGGTTACAGATACGAGCCACAGAAACAGCCCTTTTCTTGCTGGAGTCCTGGTGAGCCCCCAGATCTCACCTGAGCGTGGGGATCACAGCAGCTGGTGGCGACCACCTGGTCCTGGCCCACCTGGGTGTCCACAGGCCACATGCTCTGAACTCTGGGCTCCTTCTCCAGGGTGGGGTGTGTGAGCCAGCCACCCATGTGAGTGGGGCTGCAGGCCTCTGCCCCCAGCCACATCAGACCCCTCCACTCCACTCACTGAGTTGGGCTACTCTGCAGCCTAGGTGAGCTCTAGGCAAGGACAGGTGCTAGGAGCCCATCCAGCACACAGCAGAAGCTAGCACTGTGGATGAGGGTCTGTCCAGCTGAGGCCTGGCCCCTCTGGGGTCATTTCCAAGGGGGAGGTGCGGAGGGGGGGGCGATGGTAGCTTTCCAGGACTGGGGCCTGACGCTGGATGGCACGCATGTGTGGTAGGCAGGGGCCAGGACTGCCCCCCCCCATCCTGCTCACTACACGAGGACATCACTTCCAGGAAGGACACAGTGACCAGTGGCCAGCGGTCAGCCCCCAGGGCGGCCTGCCCAGCTCTCAGCTCCCCTCTGCCACAATCTGCTTTGTGTGACTCCCCCGGGCCAGCCGGGCTCCCCGCCAGCCCTGGGAGGATTAAAGGAGAAAAGCGCGCAGATGCTGGGAAGTGCTCCTGTGGCAGTATTCAGCCTCTTGGGCTGAAAGTCACGGAACCCAGATGAGCCGTGGATGAATGTGAAACGGCAGGAGAGTCCGGTGCCCCGGCCACTGTGTGGTCACCTCCCCGTGGCCACCTTGGGACCTGGCACAGAACGGACCTTATCTTTATGACAAGGGACAGAACGAACCTTTAGGGAACACAGAGCCTCCTCCGACTCATTCATCCTGACCAGTGAGGACAACAGGAACAACTGTTCTGGAAGCTTCCAGAAACGGGGACCTTGATGCTGGTCAGCCAGGCTGGGACTATGGTGCATGACTTTCGTCCCCTGCCCCCAGTCCCTCTGTAAGCACAGGTCGTTCTTGTCTGTGCCCTGTTCTTCCCCCACCACACGTGTGTCGTGCGATAATAGGAAACAGGAAATAGGAATAGGAAAGCTTAAGACATGAAATGCAAAAAGTCGTTTATTAGCCAGCCTGGCTGGAATGTCTCAATCTTTTGATCCACGGTTTTGTTTGTTTGTTTTTGAATACTGAACAATACAAAGCAGAACAGATAACACCAGAATTCATCTGTGGACATGATGTGGCAGAAACAGCATTGCTGAAAGAGCAGTATTGCATATTTGCTTATTTAAGTCCACTCATGCCATGAGTTCTTTTAAGAAAAAGCCCCTCCTTGGAGATACCTTTAGAGTTTTAACACAATTCCAACAATTACAAAGTCATTAAACACTGGGCCAAAAAAAATGTAACAAGTGCATCCCTAGTTTTCAAAAATAAAAATTTTAAAAAACAGCAGGACACTGGTGGCTCATATGCCTGTCATCCTAGCGACGCAGGAGGCTGAGATCTGAGGATCGCAGTTCAAAGCCAGTTGGGGCAGAAAAGTCCCCATGAGACTCTTATCTACAATTAACCACTAAAAACTGGAAGTGGCACTGTGATTCAAAGTGGTAAAGCACTATACTTGAGCAGAGTTCCAGGGACAGTGGCCAGGTCCTGAGTTCAAACCCTACAACAGAGCCCCTTCCTCCCCCCAAAAAGCAAACACAATGCAAAATCCCACTAATCCATGGATTTTATTTCTGTATTTATTTTGGCAGTGTGAGGGATTGAACTCACCTGCCAGCAAGAGCTCTACCACCTGAGCCACACCTCCAGTCTTCCTGCTTTGTGTTTCAGGGGCTATTAACATATCTCCACTGTCTGTGGGTCAAACTGGTTTTCACTGGGCCCTACCTGATCCCAAGCAGCAGAGTTCTCCACCAGCAGGCTTGATTCCTCAGTGCACACAAATGCTGCCACTGCTCCCACAAGCCCTCCCTCTCTTCCCATCCCCACTCCTTGACCTCTGTACTCATCCCAGAAGGCTCCTCCGGCAGACCCTGGTCCTTGTGACATGCTGGCTGGGGTCGTAACAGTCCAGCACCTCGGGCTCAGAGGTGATGGTTTACTCAGCAAAGGCTCAGCTTACACTTCCTTGTCCTGCTTCCTTGTCCCAGTGTTGTTTGGGAAATCTGCCAAAGGGGACACACTGCCCTCCAACCATGCTGAGACAGGTGCAACAGTCAAACCCCCACCCCATTTTTTTTGGGGGGAAGCAGAACTGAAGTGTGAACTTAAGGTTTCACACTTGGGAGACAAGTGCTCTACCACTTGAGCCACACCCCCAGTACTGTGTGTATTTTTCAGTTGGACCTCCTGAAAGAGGCAGCTTGGACCAAGTCCCTCCTACCAGCATCTCCTTCCTAGCTGGGACCACAGGCACGCATCACTACACCCAGTTTACTGCCTGAGATGGGGTCGTGGATACATTCTGGCTTGGGACGGCCTCAGACCATAAGCCTCGTGTATTCTACCTCCCAAAATGCTGGGATTACAGGTTTGGGCTGCAGGATATGGCAGCATCTTTTTGTAAGCGAGGAAAGGGCAAGGACAGGTGGCTACAAGGTCAGAGACCCCAGTAACTCTGTGAACTCTGGGAGGTTTTATGGCATGGGGAGACGAAGAAAGTAACCAAGAGGGAAAAAACCACTCATCCCACGTCACACACAGGAGTGCCCTCCAGCACGAGCTCAGGTCAGGGGGTCGGTGAGAAAAGATTCCTTTAGCCGCCCAGCTCTAAGGATAGATGGAAGGGGAAGGAAACAGGAAACACAGAAGGTTCTCTAAGCCAGAGAAGGCGAAGGAAAGAAAACCTGCTGGCAGGAGACCCACTTGAGGCTACGGAAGGAATCTGGGGTTACCCAAGAACTTGGGGACCCAGCAAACCCTGGCCCCGCCAGTCAGGGAGTCATGGGGAAGTGGGACATCGCATGGACAAGGTCCTAAGTCCCCTGTGGGGAAGACAAACCCTGACCTGTGATGGGGGAGGGAAGCTTGGTGGAACCCCACACTCAGGACATGCAGATCCATGACCAGTGGAACCCCACGTCCCCTAGACACATGGACCTCATGCCCCAGAGGTGCAGACCCCATCATCAGTGGGCTGCCATGGCAGCTACTGCACAGGTCTGGGCGTGGGTCTCTCACAGCGGTCCCCAATTGTCCCCTCCTAAGCCACAGAGAGCAGCAAAGCCCCACCAAGCATGCCCTGAGGCTCTGCTCCTGGAGGCCCGGACTAGCGGCTATGACCATCCCATTCCCACTGCCTGCATTTTTCACCTACCACACGCCCAAGAGAGGCAGCTGAAAGGAGCAAAGATCTCGGAAAAGACCTCTCCTCACTGTGGCCCAGGGTGGAGGGCAGAGCTGGAGAAAAGTGAGGACCTTGGAGTTTCACCCCAGCGACGCGGTTTCCAGGAGAGAACACAGAATCCAGCACAGCACTGTTGAGCACCTCTACTTTTGAGGTAGGGTCCTGATTCCTGGGCCCAGGCCGGTGCAGAACCCCCATCCTTCTGCCTCTGGCTCTGTGGCTGGGATTACAGGCAGGCTCGCCAGGTCTGGCTACTAATCCCATTTAACATGGAAAATTCATTCCTGTATTGGGCAGGCTGGTGCACCCAGGACAGCAACCTGGGATTTCTGGACCAGACCTTTAGATGTGTCACTTAGTAGAATGCAGACACAAAACTCCGAACTGCAAGGTTGTAAAAGTACAAACACACACATCGTCACTGAAAAGGCATGGAAGTTTCCTGTTCCTTCGCTTGCTTGAGGTATCTTACCCTTTGCCCTTTATTCTGTAGCTAAACTGAAAATGGACTAAGATCTTTACGTTATGGTTTTGGAAAAGCATAAACACTACACACACACACCAATAATTCACTGCCTATCTTTAAAATGTCTGTACATGGGCTGGGAAGGTGGCTCAGTGGTAGAGCCCTTGCCTTGCATGCCTGAGACCCTGGGTTCGATTCCTCAGCACCATATAAGCAAAAAGATAAAAGCTGGAAGTGGCACTGTGGCTCAAGTGGTAGAGCGCTAGCCTTGAGCTGAAGAGCTGAGGGACAGCGCCCAGGCCCAGAGTTCAGTCTCCACAACCGGACCAAAATAAATAAATAAAAATAAAATGCCTGTACATACATGCAGCCTGGCTCCAGGCATGCAATCCCAGCCACTTAGGAGGCTAACATGGGAGGATCCTGGGATGAAGCCCGTGCAGACAGGAAAGTCCAAGTCTGTGAGACTCTTAGCTACCCAGCTGTGGCCCCAGTGGTGGAGCGCTGGCCTTGAACACAGAAGCAGGGGCAGCGCCCAGGCCCTGAGTTCAAACCCCAGGACCTGTACCCAACACCAGAGTCCTTGCAGGAAAAGCTCCCAGGCCCTTGGTGTGTGCTCAACTAAAGCTCGGGACAGAAGAGAAGACGGTGGCTATCTCCCAGTGTCCCGACTACACCCAGCAGAGCCGGGACGTGCAGTGCCTCGGTTTCCCCTTCCAAATAAAAACAAAGCTAACCAAGCTAACTGCGGTGGCTCAGAGACCGTTCTCCGGGGTGTTTACGCTAAAGCCACACAGAGCCGTCGGGGTTCCCGCACCAGCTGGGGCCCCGGCCCGGCCTCCCAGGCGACCCGCCCCGGCTCCCGGGCTCCCAGCTGGCCCGCAGGGGAGGCGAAGGGCGCCGGGGACGGGCAGAGGTGACACCTGCCGCCCCCAAGGTCGGCCCCGAGGTCGAGGTGGGGCCCCCGGGGATCGGGTCCCCGGGGTCGGAGCCCGGGCTCACCTGCAGTGTCCCAGAGCGAGAGGTGGAGCGAACGCCAGGCCTTCAGGTAGAAGGCGCCGCCCACCGTGCTGACCGCGTCCGGGAAGCGCCGCTCCATGTACCGCTGCAACAGCGACGTCTTGCCCACGTTCACGTCCCCGAGCAGCACGATCTTCCCGTCGGGCTTCCGCATCGCCCCGCCGGGGCCCCGACCGCGCCCGACCCGGGGCCGCCGAACCCGGACTCGG